GATGCAGTTAAGTAAATATTTAACAGTGAAAATGGCGCTGAAAACGGCCAGCCATGCTACATGCGTTCTTGTAGTGACAAACGCGATCCACAACCATCGTCTCATAACGATACTTGTTGCGAGACTCGAAAAGTGTTCACCGATAGTGCTGCATCATATTATCCCCCCAAAAAATATAATAAAATATCACCGGACAAAATGTCAAGTAAAATATCACCGGACATACCACTGTTAGTGACCAATCAATAACACATTTATACACAATCAAGCTTTAGTCATTTCCAAAATTACTTAATAACTCACTCCCCCCCAATACATAAATAAAGTATACGGTGCCTGATAAACCATAAATCATTTCAGCTGAGAATCCTAAAAAACCAGAGGACTCTATTAACAGCAGATGGGCACGGCTCGTAAAGAAATCCCAACGATATGATAATAGCAATCGGCTCAAGGCAGTCGTGTTGCTAATACAGAGTGGTGCAACTACGAGCAGTGGCAGTGAAACACTACCCTCGTTTCGACCATGACGTTACTTAGAAAAAACAGTTTCTTATTTATTTAAATGAAAAATTCACATTGATAGATTTTGTCTTGAGGTATCGACGACGAACTTAGGTTCTTTGCAGATATATACGTAAATCAATTTCTTGATTATCCAGGATAATGGGGGGTGGCATGGGTTGCAGATTAACCGTACTTGAAAAATAAATAAGCAAATAAAATATTTGTATGCGCGTAGCGGCGGTTTCATTAAAAGCTGTTCTTTGTCGAGGGCCGGTGAGTACGTGCCCACGTGACCGCAAACGAGTCGGCAATGTAAAACACAAGTGAATTGTGTTACGCCACAACGTATTGATTGCTTAATGGGACGTGAGGTCAGAGAATGCGTTGTCTGTGTTTATTGCCTCTTCATGCAAAATGTTTACGCGCCTGCTCGTTTGTGGTCGCGTGGACACTGGAGTCACTGACGAATAGTGAAGATCAGCTAATAATGAAATCGTCGTGCGAATAAAGTGGTGATGTTTTTAAATCCTTTATATTAAGTTCACTTGCTTGCTTGCGCGCTTACGACCGTGCAAATCTTTCGGTCGTTTTAAACCCACTTCCCGTGATCCAATCGAGCTGACATTTTGCACACAGACTCGTTGTGCGTGGCAATTTATTTTCGTGAAAAAAACTTTTTCCACAATTTTACACTTTTTAGGTATTTTTTTTTTATATTTAATTACCAATTGCTTAATGGTGACAGGCAATCATCTGACCCATAGGTGGCAGCCATCTCAAGCCAGAGGACGAGAGGACTCTAGCCGCCCGTTTCAAAGACCAATGTGTGCTGGGTTGTGGCCCATTGAACACGCATATAAAGGATTTATAGTGAAAAACTTTGTTTTTACGGGTTAATTTTTTTTCAAGCACGGTTAATCCACAACCCACATAATACTCCCACGTATAAACAGAACTGAACAATGACATTCAAATTGAATTGAATGTTGTTTGCAGAAGCTACCCATGAGGAAAATGGCAGCAGCAACTTCAATACGAAGCATTTTCCACAGGGCTTAATTACTATATCACATGCTGTCTCTAATCCCATAATCACTATAGGGCCAATAAAATTAGTACCATCTTAATAGGATTCGAATGCAGTTGTCCAATTGATAACCTGGTCCTCGTAATAAGAATGTGGAATATCCACAAAGAGCTCACGAATGACAATAACGATGAGGACGACTCAATGATCGCTTGAGCGTGTAGACGTATTGCTCTTTCTCAGTTGTAGTTGTAATTCTCTGAACATTTCTGGCACAAAGAAATTCGATTTTCTTAAATGCTCCATTATGTGACGAATGATAGAATCTGCGTTATGCTGTGATGCATTGTATATGTGGGCAGTGTGCACATTAAGTGGTAATTCAACTTACTGACGAGTTTGCCACAGAAATGTGGAATTTCCACCACTAACTCAGGGCTTTGAATTCAGATGAATGCCACCATATGCTTGTATGAGTTTGGGGGCTCAATATATATTTTAACGCATGCATACGTTGCTTAAACATATGCATACTCATCAATATGTATTATGTTGTTAATGGTTGCATGCGCAACCTATAACAACCTGTTTGGGCATGACGGTCACCCATCCAAGTACAAAGGAGAATCAACCCTTATTGTATTCTAACATGTGACTAGATCGAGCATATTTTCGGTGATTTGGTCATAGGCGCAGATGCATATTTACTCTATAGTAGACTGTGATCACCCAAAACAGAAGCATGGAACACATAGCAATTTAATGCCAGATTCCCAAATACGAAGGAGGCATCATATAAACATCGATACACCACTCCGCTTACTCCTGACACAATTACCTTGCTCATGAACCACCTCAATGTAAAACTATAGTCATCAACATCAGCCATAACAAAGAAGTGAATGCAATGAACAAACTCCTCCCTTTGCCCGTGGAGCAACCCGAACAAGGATGCACATGAAGTCACAATTACAACAACAATTCCAAACCCATCACAATACATTAATACTGCGTAGCGATGCATTGAAAAACTCAGGTGCAAAACAAGGGCACTGCAATGGAACCCCGCTAACTCGTGCGATGTTTTAGCAGCGGAAAATAATCGGGGCCGCCAAAGCCCCGTCCTAGCGCTGCAGAAGATGGAAACTTTGGAAACCACTTGGGCAAGATGGCGACTCCCTCGATCTTTTTTGGCTCCCGCAGTTAAGAAAAATAAATTATCTTCGATTGCAGGCGAAACATCTCGCTTTGTGTCGGCTTTGTTAAGCTTTTTTTTTACAGCTGTCAATAGGTTTACTCCGGAATGTAACTATCTGCTTTGTCATGCCACGCTCCTCGCTCTGAGCGGATACATTTGATTACGTGTGGAAGCTAGATTGGGAAAGCAGCATTTTGTATTTGGACTCAACCCTGCAGTATGATCTTTTGTAAATGTGTTGGGGGTGGGGAGGGGTCATGCAACAACAAGACACGGTTATTGTTAAACAAATGGAATTCTTGGCTTGGCTATACCCATTTAGAAAGGGGCTGTATCTTTAACATCCTCACCTAGTCTCCCCCGATGCTATTAGGGGTGTGGGGGCAGTGTTTGAACAAATTTCAAGCAAAAGCAGTCTCATTACAAATAAGTAATACAGATGCAATTTGTAATCACGTGCGTTCATACTCGATCTGTTATTGTAAGCATATTGTAAATACGCCTCTTTCGCGGATGGACACATCTGTGTGGTCTGTTGTCTGCAAAAAAAGCAAGTGGTAAGGAGAGCCGATTGCATTTCCGATGAAAACCCAAGTGTGCTTCCCAAACGTAGGCCTCCCAACGATTAAACACCATCAAATATTCATGGAGGTAAAGAGGTTAGCTCAATATTTCAGGGAGACAATAAAAAAAATCCTTACGTAGAAATTATTACTTATGTAAATACTGGAAAGTGCAAATGCCAAGACATTTACGATAATGTAATACGCACATAATTGTCCTGAATGATTGGCGGTATAGCATTTTTCTCATCATTCGTATATTCATTCCGTTGTTTAAAATCGATATATCAAATTAAACATAACTATGCTCAATCAACTGTTGGCAGGAAAGCTGTGAAACGAAGGCAATTGTTGAATGTGGAAATGTTAGATTTCACTGTTCAGTCGTGGGCTAAAAATGAACTCTAACTTAAAAAAGGAGCACTAATAGCTGTAATCACAAAACATAATAAAACAATTCTATGAAGTTTTTGTTTAAAGTCAAAACATTGATGGAAATACGTAGTATTTATAATTTGTGTTATATTTTTTTTATTTAAAGCTTTCGTGACGGCAGGGATTCATATTCTTGGTTCTTTCGGTAAAGTCACGTAGAAGGGAAATAATAAAATAATACAAATATCTAACAAATTTTCTTGCTATGGATCTCACACCTGACGATGATTGCTTGTGTTGCAGTCTAAACTGTCGTGATAATTTTTTATTGTTTAATATTTTTACTATTTCCCTTCTACGTGACTTTACCGAAAGAACCAAGAATATAAAATGTGTTATATAAAAAATATTGTTGCTTATCAGGTGATGTGTGAGTATATATATGTGTTAAGGCCTATGATCAAATAAAAGCTGGAAAAAATCCCAATCTCATTAGATCTTAGGCGGTAAGCAGACTTGAGCCTGCAGGCTTCACCATGGAAAGACGTGGATAGGCTGTGGGGCTATGTGGTGGCGGGTAGTGGGGCATTGCTGCTAAATTCAGTGTTGTAATGTGCTTCTATGGTCCTCGCCCTCACCATCTGGCACGCAAGAGCATGGTCAGATAGGGTCAATGGAACTCTGCGACCCTCGTTCAGCAGTTGTTTGATGTAGATGCTGTACATGATCACATTATATATATACACACCTCCATTAATTCAACTGCTATCGAATTCAGCAAATGGCTTCCAGCATTCATTAATTATTTTGAGTTTATTTTGGGGGGTTTTCATGAATTACTTCAATGTTCAGTGTCTGCTGCTGTGTCTTGTACAGCCTGCTTTGAGCTCGATGCGTAAATGTGCTTTATAAATGGAATATATTGTGTTAAAATGTGTGTACAACGATTATAATTAGACCTGTGGTATCCGAAATAGACAGCATCTCATTGTAAGAGAATGCCCACTCTGCTGTCAGTCTGGTGGACGCAACAGTTCACTGGTGATTTTGACAACAAAAAAAGGGCGAGTTGTTAGTTTGAAAGTTCCTGGTTTATGACTCGAAGGAAATCGGGCTCTTGTTGTTCCTACAGACATTGCCGCAATTTATGCGCTGACTTTTTTCCTCCCTTCATGAACCGAGAGAGGGGGACCACGTGTTGCCAAGTTTGAAACGTGCGAATTCATAAGGTGAGTGGGGGGAGGGGTATTTTGATCATCAACATAAATAAACTTTTGTCGACACAAATAATTCATTTATCAGGGACCCATCCGCGCTTCAAGCGACTTACCGTTTTTTCTATTCATTTCATTCATGCCCAGTTCTGAATCCATTCCACGAGGAAACCAAAAGGAGTTGTACCTCTGTAATTTACGTAGACAATCAACACACACAGACACAAACACGTTATAAAAAATATACTATGCTATCGTGAAGTAACGCACAATATGTTTTTCAATTTGAAAGCTCCATTACGATAAAGTACATGAAAATGCTTCGTTGTTCTAGAGTGTTATCCAATTCCTTTTTGAATGCGAATGCCGTCTTTGCATCCAGGAGAGTCAACGGATATTTCGGTCAAATGTATGTATGTTGAACTTCTTTCGCACCGTACGTAGCCAACCGTGCTAATCGGAGGTGTTGGATAACTCACAAAATTAGGATAACTCGACGTGAACAAGAGTATATCTACATAAATTATAAACACTGCATCACTATCTCCGTGTAAATCCAGTGTATGTGAATGCGTATATACATGTACGAGTATCTTCTTGGTTCTTTCGGTAAAGTCACGTAGAAGGGAAATAATAAAAAAATAATAAAACATAATAAAATAATTCTCACGACGTTTCGGCCACAACGCAAGCAGCCGTCCTCAGGTGAAGAACATGTGACTTTACCCTGCCGTCACGAAAGCTTTAAATCGAAATGTACGAGTATATTACAAATGTTCCCACAATCGACATCTTCAAGCGATGGAGCCATGAGACCTCTCGCTGAGACGACAAAGATCGTATGCCTCTGCGTTATTCCCCAACGGGAGCATTGGCTGAGTGGCGCATTTTTTTTTGGCAACAGGATTCTCCAGCTTGCTTCACCCATCAATTTTTACCAATTGGCAAACAGTAGACTATTTACACTTCAAACACACGGATGGGTTAAGCGTCACACCTCCACATGTGTGAATGTAAGTGGGTTTGAAAACCTAACCCAATCTCCGAAGCCAAGTTGAAATGTTACATATAGAAAATAGAAATAATTTTCAGTTATGCGTATGACACCGTGTTGCATGCATTACAACGTGTATAATGTAAGAATGTTTAAAATGCTTTTAGTTATTGGGCTTGAACAACTAAGTTTATAGATATATTTGAATCCAAAGTGACTGAGCTGTAATCGTCATGCTGTTTAGCATTGAACATTGAAACCAATTAAATCATATTTAGTTTCGGATATTAAATTGCTTGTCGTCTCAATAAACACCGCCGTTCATATTAATTTGCATGCAACTGATGGGAAAGTGGGCCAATTTGTCACGAAGGCCTAAACAAATGATGTGTTTGCAACACACGATAAAGACATATTAATTATCATAGCCTCTTCTTAAAATCTTAAGTGCTATTTGTAATGATGTGTCTAATGTGAGCAAAATAGAAATTGATATATCACCAACCATCAAATAATTTTATATGCAGTGTCATTTATAGATTCATGCAGTATACCTTACACAATATTACGGATCATGTTCGTATCACAAATGCCTATTATACACCGCCCTAGAATCGCAAAAAACCCCATCTCAATAGTGAAAATGTACGAAAATTTAAAACATAAAATTGCCATTAATACTGCACAATTGTCCCGGTCTATGTGTTGTCGTATGGCACTGTGGAACGTGTGCTTCGCCGAGAAGACGCCCATTACTTACCCTGCTCCTGTAGCACAAGTACATCCCCGTCACGAGCACCAGCAGAACGACGGCGGCCGCGGACCCAGCAATAACTTTGTTTTTCCATTCGCACGATCGCAACAGGTGACCAAACACAAAACGAAATGCAACGCTTGAGTATTATTATTATTATAACAGCATATCGCCGATTTATTATAATTTTGAACGGATGTGAAATGAGCTCGCGAAATAAAATGAACACGAAAAAAAACACCTGCGAAAAAATGTAAGCTTATTTTAGAAAATTAAATCATGCTCCTATTTCCAAACACCATTAACCCGCTTTGGACATTCGAACAGTGATTATCATCCCACATCAAGGCCTCCCATTAAACGACGTTTCGAAACGGTACCACGACACTTCACAGTGTTTGTTTTAGGCGACAGACATTGCTCACCGTGCGTTTTCGGCAGAGACGACACTGCGATCGTCGTCGTTCTGCTAATCGCGATAGTCGTTGGACAATTGATCGTTGACGTTGAGATCGAAGACGCGGCGATGGTGGTGTTGGCGGTGGTGGTGGCGGACGCGTTGCCACTTAAATTCGTCGCGTTTTGCGTCGCGCTCAGAGTGCGGTCCGCTGTCGGGATCGAACTCGGCGCAGCTGTCAACAACGACGTTTGTGTTGTCGTCTCGTTTGACCCGACGCTGATGTCCGCGGTGGTATTCGCCTTGGCGGCTGAGGCTGAGACAGCGGCAAACTGCACAACTGCAATGACAACGAAACAAAAAGCAGAATGAGAGGCAAGCCTTAAAACTTGTTTTCGTCTCGTATTAGCTTCGCGCACTGGGCTTTGACTTAGAAACAATCTCGCCGATAGAGCTGGCCCTTTGGCATTCGAACAAATGTGGTACAGGATTGCCCTTTAACATGTCATTCTCACGCGAGAGTGTGACAGAAACATTTAGCACTTCCTACAGCCTCAGGGAGCAATTCTTAACAAAACAGCCCAGCATCGTTATTTTTTGTTGCTTGCTTTAAGTTAACTTGTGGAAGATGCACCGAGATGCCCACCAAAGTTTTTTTTATATTTACCGGTGAGCTGCACACAAGCAAACCATTACATTTTGAGCATTTCCTTTCGCACGCGACGATTTCCAGCAGCGAATTTTATGTTTGAACGCAACACGGAGAACGGTATAGCACTTACTGCAGATGAAGAGAAGGTGCGTCCAAGCCATAATGAGTGGAAAGTGTTGACAACGTTGATTCAGTGTGTTTCCGAACGCTTGAGGACACAGTGATAGAGACGCAGCCACGGGGAGTAACTTGGCTCCCACTGACTATATCCGAAGAAGGCAGTCGAACTGGGCCCCAAGCTCTCCTTATCTCACTGTGCAGGTTTTCCTTTAAACTTTCAAAAACGGCCAATCGCTGCCCACACCACACTGCCCCCGCCCTCCGCCCCTTATAAAATGATTGTGGTGCCAGAAATGAACGCATGACGAAATTTTAATGTTGGGAGAAAAAAAAATTAAGCTTAGAAAGTTACATTTGGGAACGTGCATGGAGTGGTCATTTATTTCTACGTGCATGGAGTGGTCTTTTTTTTTTATATGGTCACAAGAATCGCGTGAAAGTTCGTATGTGCTTTCGTGAAATGTAAGAGATCGGCACTGATATTCCCATTCATTGAGCTGTCGAGGGTATCGCTGTGAACGGTATTTTTTAATTTATTGTCGAGACATTGCGAACCACCTGTTAGATACATTGCAGATGTATGCATTCGATTGTATAAAGCAGCCAAATTGTAAACATTTATTGTGAATCAGTTTGACATGAAAAAAAAACTAAATTGCAAAGTTCTTTTTTAACTCCTCTGAGCTGTACTTTATTGTAATAATGTTTATTTTATATTATTTTGCATCATATCGCAGGGTATTCACAAACTACTCATGTTATAGGTCGCTATACTGTGGTTTGTTGAAAAATAATTCAAATGAAGCAATTTTCTGCCAAAAAAATGTTCAATAGTTATTTGTGTCATCTGAAGTTATGTCTCCAAATTTAACACATTCGTCGAAATAATAGGTGACGTTTCAGACAATGTCCCTTTTTGACAGTACATCGAGAGGAAGGGCCATTGTATATTATATATTTTTCAGGCAGTGTTGTTGACTAACGTGTTGTTATTTGTGCTTGGGCACCACTGTCGCTGGATTATCGCCAAAATAATTTGTTCAAATTTAAACAAAATCCGTGGAACTAAACGCCGAGGTAGATTTTGTTCGTTTGACAGAAATAATTTCATAAATCGTAAATATGCATCAGGTGGGGGTGTTGGTGCAGTGCTTAGCGTACTGCGTACGTTAGTAACCGAGCGAACCAAATTATATTCCTGGCCACTGCTAACGTCAGTCACGAGGGATATCTGAACTGGTCCGTAACAACCGAAATATGGTCAAACAACCCCCGTGGGTCAGGGCATGAAGGAGGCCTTCATCCACCAGTGGATTCACAAAGAACTTTATTAAATACATGCTTTTGTGGGACTATGAAAAACACATTTTGAAATAAAAATTATTATTTTTAAATAATTGTGCCAATTAAATAATAATGCAATTTATAACAAGCACAATATTTCACAGATATAAATGACCGTGACTCTGAGATTCTGTACTTTAATGTCAAATTGGTCTGCAAAATACATGTTTTATGTACAACAGCAACCAGACGCAGGCCTGTACCCACAAGCAGTCATCGTTTATCTGGTCAACTTGGGCTGTTCGACGCAAAGTGAATGAGAGTACAACGGCGTTAATATATGCCACGTAAATAAATTACATTGATGTCAAGAAACCATGGAATGTGCTTGCGATGCATATTGTGGTCTAGCCTGATGAATGCTCCACTTGCACACACACACACACTATTGTTTACAGTATTTTATTCATGCCTTGAAACATAAGCATGCAAGCACAGCAGCTGTCAACAGCCATATATTGCTTTGTTACAACGTTTAATTTAGTACACATTTTTATATACGTTTTTCTTAGACCAAAGGCAATCTGTGAAAAATAGTATATACCATATTAATACATGTATGATGATTGTAAATAATTATAATGATATTAATGGTGCAAGTTAATACAGATAAAACATGACATTAAACTAGTGCTCAAGTGTTTTGTGATCTCTGTGCAAACATACGGTATTCATATCTTTCTATACAATGACAGCTAATATGGTTCACAAATCAAAAGTAACACATACAAATCATCTGTAAAGTTGACATCACTTAAACCAACTCGTGCAACGCGTATAGACTGAAAATTAACATCCATAGCAATATTACTTTTATTACGACAGTGGAATAAACAAACTTGTCACTTGAAACAATATAAGATCAATACACCAAAATATAACAAAACCATTGTAATGGCACGTATGAGCAAAGTGAAGTAATTGATCATTTCCCAGCAATGCGATGTGCAGATTCACATTCTCCATGGTTTGCCTGAAAACCTCACGGCCAGAGCCCAATGTTCCTTCGACCCCACAAATCCCGACCCCGTCCACTCATTTCTCTCCTTGTATCGTGTTTCACCGAACATTTTCCAGCGGCAACAATGAAAACGTACAATGCCACCTTCCACAAATCCGAAAAGTCTGTTGTTTGTCGGTCCACACTCCGTATCGGCCGCGTTGTTTGACTGCTGATGCAGGAGCCGCGCATTGTTTTGCGAAAGCAACTTCAATTCAGAGTTCTTGGGCTCAGAATACAAACATTCCGTGGAGTGTAAAGGTTGGACATTCAACTCAAGTATCATCACCCTGTGTCCCTTCCATCAGCTCGTGAGTGGCGACGATGGGGCTGAACACACTTCCGCTATGTTTCTAGTTCTGTTTTCAGTACTCCTGCTTTCGTTCAGTTCCAAACCTTGTGTTTATTCAATCAATTTCGATCGTTTGAACTTAAAGTACAACAATTAGAACACAATGCGTCCGACAATTACGAATCCATCCTGCATTACTCTGCCTCCCCAGGGTAGCTATCAATTCAAAGGAGGGGTACACGCCAGGAGACACGTTTATTTCATGCAATGTTTGAGTTTTCCAAATTCACGCGTAAATTGCTTGTGTTGATGATTCACCAGTAATGTTACGCATACAGCACATTTTCTAATGCAGATGTGTGCTTATTGAATCGGTGCATTATTACGGGACACATTGTACATGATTGCACGTAAAGAATATTCAGAATGTTGGAAATAATGTCTTCTACTTATATATAATTGTATATAATGTGCATTACCTCACTGGATTATGTAGTATATCCTGCATTGCGCAGTTAATATTGGTAATTGCATACAATTGTACATTTGCATAAACCATGCAAATAATGCATAATTACGTAAATTTTTTGAATGTTTACAAATTATTCAATAAAGTACCAAATGACAGTTTGCAAATGTTTGATTTATATTGATTGACTTTTAATTTTTGTATAGACACTCATTGTACATAGTGTTATTAATATCAGAAATGCATTTACACCGATTGCATTGTCCAATATATTACACGCTGATCAGATGATGCACAACTACGCCTTACAATAAATCACGACTGAGGAGCAGTCGATTTGCGGCACCTCGCTATGAACCTCGCGGCCTGAGTTCGAATCCAGGCCACAGCTAGCATCAGTGGCGAGGGATATCTGACCTGGCCCTGAGCTCCCACCTTCACAAACCTGCAATGTCAATCATGGGGGAAATATGAATCCAGTATAATTTTAGTCTGGCAGGCTATCAGCCATTCCGAAACTTACGTCAACCATTTCGATTTAAAGCTTTCGTGACTGCAGGGATTCTTCTTCTTGGTTCTTTCGGTAAAGTCACGTAGAAGGGAAATAATAAAATTATATAAATAAAACATGATATAATAATAATCTAATAGTTTATTATAATATAATAAAATAATATTTTATTAAAATAATATTTTATTATATTATATTATTATTTTATTATGTTGTATTTTTATTATTTCCCTTCTACGTGACTTTACCGAAAGAACCAAGAAGATTATGTCAACCAGCCGTGTGTTTATTTTGAAGGTCTCAGCCTTTCTGGGGCTGATCAGCAGCGTCACGCTCGCGAGCCACGTGCTGCTTGCTGGCTTTGTGCTACACGCATTGTCAGACGCACTCCCTCAAAAAATGATGAGGCCATGTCTGCACAAAAACAACTAGACGATGTTTTATAACGATTTATGACCCGGAATACCCCGCAACAGCACAATAAATTTCGATTTAAAGCTTCTTTCGTGACTGCAGGGATTCATCTTCTTGGTTCTTTCGGTAAAGTCACGTAGAAGGGAAATAAAATAAAAATAAAAAAACATAATCAAATACAATTCTGACGACGTTTCGGCCAAGCAACCGTCCTCAGAGGACGTATCTGATGATTGCTTTCGTTGTGGCCGAAACGTCGTGAGAATTGTATTTGATTATGTTTTATTTTTTTATTTTAGTATTTCCCTTCTACGTGACTTTACCGAAAGAACCAAGAAGATGAATCACAATAAATGTTTAACCATTTCAAGCAGAATGGAGTGGGGAAGCCTTCAACCAGCAGACTATTTACACATGGCCGAATGGTCGCACAATTATGTTAAGGCAGTCCTTATACCGGATTAATTGAATGTTAGATGTGGGAAAATGTCACATCTGGAAACATTGTCATGGTGTCAATTAGGATTGCTTTTGGCGACTTTATGAAGGGCTGTAATCTATTGCTGTACTCTTAATGAACACCAATCCTGTACGGGGAGGATTTCCACACAACTCACACTTAACTTCTAATTGAGCAATGTTTGGAAGAACGTAATCAACCAGGTAAAGTGTTAACTGTTGTGTTAACCGACTCTCTGTGTTGCATTGCATTACATATATATATTTTTCCGCCTGAGGGCGGCCGCTTGTGTTGCGATTGAAACGTCGTGATATATTTGTTCTACCTACGTGACTTTACCGAAAGAACCAACGAGTATGGATTCCTGCAGTCACGAAAGCTTCAAATCAAGATTTCACTAGGTTTGTTTTCTCAAACTTCCTATTTCTCTCTCAAAATGTTACCAGATTTGTCAAGTTCGAATTTCTGTCCTCCGACCGCTAAATTTTACCAGGTTCATCAATAGGTCCAATTTCTCTCCTCCGGCCGCTCTCATTGACATCCTAATTTCTTTGCCCCACCCCTTTCTTTCTATATAATGCCTCGAGACAGAATCGTTGTGTCTCTGTGTGTCTCTGTGTGTCTCTCTGTGTGTGTCTCTCTCTGCTTGTGTGTCTCTCTATGTGTCTCCGTGTCTGT